GGGCTCGCTTCAATATCTGTCAATAACTCGTCCTGACATTGCGTTTTCTACTAATCGCATTTGTCAGCACATGAAAACTCCAACAGACCATGACTACCTAGCACTAACCAGGCTGCTTCGCTACATTAAAGGAACACTCAATTTCGGTCTTCCCTTAATCACCGGAGACTTGCATCTACACACATACACCGACGCCGACTGGGCCTCCGACCACTCGGATCGCAAATCCGTTTCCGGTTTCTGTACCTTCTTGGGACCAAATCTAATCTCCTGGTCCGTCAAGAAACAGATCACTGTCGCCAAATCCTCCACTGAAGCCGAATACCGATCGCTGTCAGCTGCCACTTCGGACGTCATATGGCTGTGACGTCTTGCAGCTGAACTGCACCTACCGCAAAGCCTCCCAACTCCGATCTACTGTGATAATCAATCGGCTATCGCCATTGCCAAGAATCCGGTCTTTCACGCCAGGACAAAGCATATTGAAATCGACTATCATTTCATCCGTGAGCACATCAACTCCGGCAACATCGTCATCAACCACGTTCCTTCAAAAGATCAAGTCGTGGACATTTTGAGCAAACCGTTCGCTCCAGCCCGGTTCAAAGATTTGCGCTCCAAATTAACAATTCATAGCATGAATTATTAATTTGCGGGAGGATGTTAGCATAGAACAACTTTACTTTATCATGTACCAACTATTATTACTATTTTACCTATTCTGTCTATTTAAGGAATCCTGTACACACCTTTACATTTAAATAATAATTCCATATTTTCCTTCTTCTTCTTCAGTCTATCTATTCTCTGCTCCGGTTCCTGATTTACTTTCAATTTTGGAATGCATATGTTCACTGTTAAGGTAGTCGATAAAGTTTATATGAAAGAAATATGAAGAACAATAATAAACTAATGGTACAATAACGAAAAATTGTGCAAAAAATGTTTGTAGATTGGAATTAACATTTCATATGATACTCAACAAGAATGAATGGAGAAGTAGAGTTCATAAAACTTTTTTTCCATTTATGGGATAAGGCTTATGGTAATGATGCTGGGGTATTTAATGTTATAAATTGAAAAAAATAGACTATATACATTAACTTTCTTGAATAATTAAAATTAAAGAGCATTCTTTCTCTGGCATAAATTTTTTGCATTGGTAATTGGTATGACTCTTGAGTAGGCAATGCCGCTCTTTAGTTGGCGCTAAATTTGAGAGTTATTGGCTAAAATGCTACTTGAAAGAGCATGCTTTCTCAGACATAAATTTTTTGCTTTGGTATGACTCATGAGTAGATAATGCCATTCTTCAATTGGCACTAAATCTGAGAATTATTGGCTAAAATGCCACTCAAAAAAATTTTAGAGAATTGAATGTTGATTGTTGGTTAATTTTCCTGCTAAGTTACCATGCAACGAAAAAGTTCTATGGAATCTTAATCATTATAAATGTCAGGAAATGAAACTTAAATTAATAAAATTTGCAAATTTTGTTAAGAGGTGGATTAGGAATGGACTTTGATATTTTTCTTATCTTTTGCCTGTTAAGCGCTATGATTAGGCATCCTTCATTTGTCTAAGGTGTATGTAATTGGTCAGGCAAGCTAGTTTACATTTCATTTGCGTTTCATTAGCTAATTGCACCTGCCATCTTAAGCAGTTTGCACTCTCAGTGCATAATTTTGAATAAAAACTTAGATAAGACTCATCTTCGTTGAATAGTTACTGTTTTCATTCTAACTTAATCATGTACTCTTCTGTTTATTAGTTGTTGTCATTCTTTTACAGTTTTTTTGGCGCTAACTTTAACTTTAGCTAATCTTTTTGAACAACAAGATATCCTTCAACAAGAGGGGTGGTTTATTTGAATAGAAAGGCTTAATTTTTTGTTTTCTTACCATAAATTTGCAAGGTTTTTGTGTCATGGAGCTTGAACTAAAGGGTATCAATGTTTGGCTTATTATGCCATTGGTCAAACCAAATTTCTAGTTAAGAGCCATCCATTTGTTATGCTTATGCTAATATAGTTTTTAATTATATGACGTGGAATTAAACCCAATATAATAACTTGTCTTAACATGTTCATGATTTGAAGGTTCTTTCTTCCTTGTTCAAATAATCAAATGTAGTTCTTTTCCTGTTTATTGTTTGATGTTACAGTTACTTATAATAATGTATTTCATGTGCATCAAAACTAGTTATCCACCAAAACTATCTTTTTTTCTCTCATCTATTAGGGACGACAGTTTTGGGTATGGTTAAAGTTTTACTAACCTTTATTGATTCATTTATCATTTTTTTTTAATAAAAACCCAATGTCATCCAAAGTTTTGCTTTTCAACGTCTTGGTGTGAGGATTCAATAGTGGTAATGGGCATCATTTTTGTTTTTTAAACTTATATTTGGTGCTGTCTAATTATATGTTAATTTTGTGCAGCTACCGTGGCTTCGAATGCTTCCTTTCATGGTCATATTTGTGTAGCCACGAGAAAACATATTTTTTCTCTTAAATCTGCTCGGAGTGTTCCCATTTTTTGTGAGGAAAAAGTTTTAGTGCCAGTACGGCTGAACTTCCAATCACCAGGAAACTCAAATTTCAAATCGTGGTATCTTGAGAAGCAATGCAAACATTTTATCAAAGCGGTTGCTACTGTTGAACCATATTGCTTTATAAATTCCGAAAGCAACCTCATGGATGATTCTAGTTTGTGGTTCGATTCTAACCCTGAAAATCAAATGGCTCAATGTTCAGTTGAGTGTCCTCAGCTAGATGAGAGAGAGACATTAAGACGGATGAGGATTTCAAAGGCAAACAAGGGGAATATTCCATGGAACAAGGGAAGAAAACACAGCCCAGGTATAAACTTTAGTTTCCCTTTAAATCTTAATGCAATTTACATTTTTTTTTAACTTGCAGAATTTGGTTTCTTATCTTGGCGAGTTATTTTTTCTGTCAGAAACTCTACAAAAGATCCGAGAGAGAACCAAACTTGCAATGCAGGATCCCAAGGTGAAGTCATGTAAGAAAAATGCATATTGTTTTAGCCAGTAGCTGCCATGAAATCTAAGTAATAATGCTCATCAAAGATATCGTATTAGCCTTACTTGCACTATATCAAAACTCCTGTTGTTGCTTGTATCGGTTTCTCATCCTCTAACTATATTAGTATATATATTCCTGAATCTACATTTGAATAATAATTGCAGCCCAAATTTGTGACCTCGTTTCTATTTTATTGTATTAAAAATGAATATGTACTTATGTTCAGATTTTTTCATGAACTGAGCCTATACCCGAGCAAGAATTTCAACTTGAATTTGATTTTGAAGTTGAAATTGAGATGAATTCTGAAGCTAAACCTCTACTAGTAACTGAACGTGTATGTGATGGATCAAAAATTTTAAAACTCAAGTAGAAATTGTATTAACTGAAATTGAACTTACGTTCATATTTAATAGTAAAAATTTAATCTTTTCTTGACTGAGACTTTGAGTTGCTGTGTGAAATTGATTGCACACTTACATTTGAATTGAATTTTTAATTGAAACTCCTGAATATAAACCTGAATTTTTAAAAGATATTGAATATATTATGGATAAATCTTGTCTGTTGCAATGATAAACTAATTCTTAAATCTGAACGATTGATGTCTACAAAAGTTGATAAATGAATTAAAGAAGTTGATTTCACTTCTGGTAGATTTTCTGATGAATATATCTCTCCTTTCTCAAACTGAGATTGATGTTATATTTCAGTTCTTATTTTGTTGATTCACAAATTTATGAATAAAGAATTCTGGAGGAAGTTAAATCAAATCAATATTTTGATGAATGTATTAATTGCAAAAATATAACAAAAATTTGATTTTTTAAAGTTCGGTTGTACATGAAAGGTTGTAAATCATTTTCACTGTTTTTTAATCCATTAAGGATGGCTTTCTTCAATGAGGTTGTTTATCCAAATTGACATTTAATACTTGTATCTTACATATAATACTAGGTTACTAGTCATTATTAGTATCCTTTGGAAACATACTGGCATTCTTGTGATTTCACTACTTATTTCATATCATTTGTATGATTTGCATGAAGAGTTTTTCAAAAAGCTAACAATACACTGACAATTATAATTCTATTGCTATTGTACATACAATTCAAATTAGGTGATAAGGTAATGGCATGAATGATTTTTGAAGGGCTTCCTACATCTTTGAGAAATTAATTACTAGAAAGTAGTGGTCATATACAATTTCACAACTCATTGTGATATAAATTGGGAATTTTAAGAAATTTTGGTAGTATTCCAAACTTTAATGTAACTAATTTGATTTTTTTTATGATACTATTGCCATTTTTATGAATTCTTTTCTTTTTCCATCCCTTCCTTTGAATTCATATCCAACACCTTACTAGATGGATCCACTCGTCTTCATGGGGTACCTTGCAAGAAGCTGAACAACTTCACCCATATTTGCTTGACAAGTTTCACATGCCGGATTTGTTGGATCCAAAGTTTTTACAAGCTAGGTAGATTGATGCGGAAGCATGAACTTAAGGAGCTCTTGTTTGCTACAATCATAGGATTATTTGATTACCATCAAAGTTCTGCATCTATTCATGCCACCTCTACCTCTTGCTATTCCATTTCTCCCTGTACGTCTCAATTCTAGTCACCTATTTTCTTGTTACTCTACTTATTGATATTCATCTATTCTCGCTACCCACCACCTCTGTTATCATTGCTCCCGCTAATTTTTTGTTCTGTTGGTCTTTATTTTTGTGTTATTTCTTCAGCTAATTTGATGGTTCCTTATATAACATGTGAAATGGATTTTACAAATTAGGAACTAAACTTTTATAGAAAATTTTTGCTACTAGAATTCATGAAGGATTCATTAAAACCTATTGTATTTGAAAGAGTCTTGATAAATTATATTAAGTTATTTTTTCTTGGGTTTTTTATAGGCTATAAATAGGATCCTTAAAGCATGTAAATTTCATTGGTACTGAGTATTTGTAAAATTATTCTTTTTTCGCTATTCTTTTCTTGTTGTCTTGTTGGATGTGTATTTTTCTAGCACTTCATAGGTGTGATTATATACTTGACGGGGGTGAGTCTCTTCGTATTGGTGTGAAGCCTCATTTTTTTCTTGGTGGTTTCTATCATTGTTCTTATTTTAATTTTTTAGTCTCTAATTTTGCATTTGATTGAAACTTCGTCAAGTGTAGTACATATTGGATTTCCCCTTTTTAGTGCTAGCTTGATCATTGTTGGAATTTATATTTAATCACTATTTTCTTGTGAAATTTTAAAATTTGGCAATCACTAAGTTGTTATTTGGAATGAAAGAACCGTGTTTGCTATTTTTACATTAATAGCAATTGATTTTTTGCTAAACTTAAGAGTTAGTAACTTGCAGATTTTGATTTTTGCATGCTTTTATTGAGTATTTCATCATAGGTTGCATTAGTGACCATAGATCCATCATTGACGTACATTAAGAGCCTCTTGTTTCTTTCATGCTCTAACTTAATTTATCGACTATACAAAATTGATCCAAAAAAGTTCATTTGGAATTAAATCGAGATTAATTTTGTATAGTCGAGAGACTAAATTAGAATCAATTTTATATCCCAATTATAATATGAGGCACAATTTTTTATCAATTTTCTACGGTCAAAGTAGTAAATTAGTGCAACATAATACTTTTGGACTAAATTGGCCACACACGTATAATCTGGGGATCTGTCTTGAGATTTTTCTTATAAGTTTGCATGCCTCACAAATATGGATTTATGCATAAAAATTTTCCATTTGTTATTTCAGTATTATCCGCTATATCCTATCGAGAGAAAAAAAAAGTGGTTTTAGTATAATATTCATTTTGTGAACTATATAGCTTCATAAATTCTAAAGAGTTCAATTTGCAGGTCAAAAGGAAGTTGATGAACTTGGGGCATGCTCAGAGGTGAGTTACTTTGATTCTATTATTTAAATGTAAATGACATATTGTCTTATATTGTTTCTGCTATTATGGATAAAAAAGAAATGCGTTACTCAACCATCTGAAATATGAAATTGTTATTGAAAGCTCTGAGAAAGAGGTCATTTTATCTTTTTAATTCTTTTTTGTAGTACCAGTCATTTTCAAAGGACTAGCACTAGGCTGGAATACTTCGAATTTAATGTGATCATTCTAGATTGTAACATCTGGGCCTGCTATTATGAATCTTATGCTGGAAAAACTTTTGTATTTTATTTTATTTTTTATGCTCTAGCGCTTGATAGAAGAAATGGTGAAAGGTAGACACTTCGACAAATTCTTGTTGGAGGTCTCTAGCTAATTTTAGATCAGCAAATGCCTTGACAATGCTTTTGTTTTGGTGGAAACCATTTCCATTTTTGGCACTTTGCTGAAGTTACTTTCTTAACCTTTTATCTGTATATGGCGTGCAACGTAGGAAAGTAGCATGTATTACGCCTCAAATATGGCTTATACATGGCCATAATAAAATATAATTATGGGTGAATTATATGCATAACACCTAAAATTTACATATTTACAAAATTAATGCCTGTCATTTTTTTGAACTATTGAACATGTTTAGTTGTCCATGCCATAGTTAAATCATTGAGAATTTGTTTAATCAAAAGCAAAAATATTAGTTGTAATTTTATTGTGAATTTTAATATTTGTTTGACAATTTGAAAAATTGAGGTATTAAAGAGTTAATTTTATACCATTCATTTTCAAAGGACTAGCATTAGGCTGTAGTACTATCTTTTTTTTATTTTTATTTTTAAAAGAGAAAGGAAAACTCACACAACAATCTAAAACTCTGATACCAAATTGATGCGACCTAAGTCTCTAATACCAAATTGATGCAATCTAGGTTCTAAAACAAGTAGGTTAGCACTAAGACTGCAAATGAAAAACTGTCATTCAATATAACATAAACAAACACAAGTATTAGAAACTAAGTAGGAAAAAAAAACTTAGAAAATTGTTAGAAAAACATAAGAAATAATCAAACAACTATATTAAAATACCCCCAGAACAACCTTAAAAGGTCACCTTACATGCAAATCATGAAAATGGAAAAATGTGCTCAAAAGAAAACTCAAACCAGTGGTTCGCCACAAAAATTTAGATCCAATTGAACCAATGCTCCTCTAGCAAAATACCAACAAAACTGAGCTCAACAACTCGGTTCAGCTCACAATTTTTTGGAGAAGAAAGATACATGTGGAAGGGTCGTGGAGAGAAGTAGAGAGAAGATCGGGAAGAATAGCAAGGATTAAGAAGATGCTAGCTTGCAAGCTAGGAAGACACTGTCCCGACCCGGCCCGGTTAGCTCGCAAGTGCGAGGCGGGAACGAATGTCGGACAGTAGGAAATAATAACTTTCGCATTTCAATATACACAACATCTTCATATCATAAGAAAGAGCTACTAAAATAAATCAAGAGAAAATTTTCTTTCTATTCATCCATCAACAAAACAATTATAACATAAAGCTTTCAAAATATAAAAGGTGTTCAAAATCATTTCCTTACATAACATCTCTAAATCCTTCTATCTCAAAACATAAAAACAAAACAAAACAAAACCTGTCGCCCATCGTCTCCTTACGACGGTACGTGAGGGGAGGTCTATCCGTCATTATCCCTTACCAGATCCTCCTGAAAAGTGTCCCATAACATGGGTGAGTCACAACTCAATAGGTGTAAATGACATTCAAATAAATTTAGGTTCAAGAAAAGAAAACTACAGCATGCTTTAATATCTTAATAAAGGAATAATCAACATATTATCACATTTGTTTTGTCCTTACTACAACCTTTAAATTCTTATTCATTTCATAATCTTTCCATTCTTCCTTTTAAAACATTCATGCCTCAAATGCATATAACATAAATATACATTGTTCATAATATCTCTATATATATAAAGCACCCGTCTCGGAAGTATCACTTGTACTGATCAGGTACATAAAATTGACCATTCCTATTTGGTTCAAAAGAACCTCATTTACCATTTGGCTCATAAGAGCCTCATTTACTATTGCTCAAAAGAGCTCCTTTACTATTTGATACTTCCGCGTCAACATGCACATGCACATAATACTTACATATTCATAAGAGAGGCTTATGTAAACTATTCAAGTGTATGTTTTCATAAAGATATACATGTTTGCTATACTCATGTGTATATTTGCATGTAAAGAGAAGACATGTGTAGTACATGTAAATAAAGAAGCATGAGATTCATTTAATGAGTTCTAAAAATTTCATAAAAAAGACTTTACTCTTGCATAAAGTGATCATAAGCTTAAATAAGGAAACATACTAGTCATAATAATATCATAAAGAGCATAAAAAAGAAAATGTCATTTCTATATATTTACATGTAAAAAGATTTTCTAAATTTAAAAGAAGTCCATTTCACCTACCATAACTTGTGCACCACTTCCGGTTGTCCAATCAAACCCTTTCCTCCATACGTTCAATATCTAAAAGAGACATACACAATGTGTAAGTATAACTAGTCCCCACATAATTTCCTAAACTCTTAATCTATGATAATAAAGAGCTCAACCTTATGTCATGTCTATATTTTCAAATTAAATCCCTCCCACCATTTCATGAAATCTCTCATTCCCATTCTCTCTCAATTAGGATTTAGTCAAAATCTTAGATTTTATGCATGCAATATCTCTTCCTCCACTCAAAATATAATTAAAATAAAATTAATTTTTGGAATAAATTAAACCAAAATTTAGAAAAACTTGTATTTCATGTGAAAGCCCTAAATTTGTCTCTAAAATTCTTTCCAAAACCATTTGGAACCATAAGACTAAAAACTTTTATGATTAGGGAAAAATCATAAATTCCAAAACTTAAAATTTTCATCAACCTTGCATTATTTTTCAATTAGAGGGTCTCTTATGTCATTAGGAACTACTGTTATGAAGGCATCTCCAAAGAAAAACAACTTTGAGTGAAATCCTAATTTCCAAAATTCACAACTTTCATGAAAACAACTCATTCTTAGGTTTAAAAACATCCCCTCACCCTTCACTAGACTTATCTCAAAGAAAACTCAAGTTTTCTCAAAACCCTAACTTTCATTCCTTAGAGAAAACTCAAGGAAAAGAAGAGAAAACTCTTGCAAATCACTTGCATTAGCCTTCCCTTAGTTTTCCCTACAAGCTCCTCCACGAACGGCCGAAGGAATTCACTCCCAAGCTCTCCCGTCGCCTCTCCTATCCGACACCTTCTCCTCTCCGCTCGGTTCGGGCTGCAAGAACGAATGGGGGACTGAAACATTTTGGTCCCCTAATAAGAGCGGAATGCTCTCTTTAAATGCATAATGATCTAAAAGCCCTCACTTAAAACTCATACCTATTCAAATGACATCAAGGGCAAAGTTGTCATTAAGAGCTTTCCGGAAATTTTAACTCCCAAGATACATAAAATTCGATATGGGTTCTATACATCGTTTTGCTCAGAATTTTGCGCACTATTTTATAAAATTTATTGTGTTGAATTCTGACGACTTTTAAATTTTCACTTAAAACTCGTCGCGATGCATCGAAAAGTGTGCGAAGCCTAAAACGGCATTTTTGCGGGTTTTACATAAACCCTCGGGTTTGAACTTGTATTCGCCAAACAACAACCCTTTCCAATAACAATTCAGCTACTATTTATAATAGAAAGAAGGGGAAATAACATTTAATATCCCACATAAATGTGCTACCAAAACAGCTACTAAAACTCCTCCAAATCAGCCCATACATGGAGAGGTCAAAGCAAGTAACACAGGGATCAACAAGGGGAAGAAACTGAGCTTCTAACGACATGAAAACCAAGAAAATAGTAGGGAAAATGAGTATCTAGCAGTAGGGAAACCAAGAAAATAGTAGGGAAACTAAACAACTACATTGGGAAACCAAACAGCCCCCATGGGAAGTCCAAACAAGCATATGGGGAAATCAAACAGTAGCAGGGAATTTGAGGGACAAAGAATACCAAATGGAGTGAAACTACCTAAAAGTACCAAACTCAAGTATGATCATGAGTGGTTTTCCATCATAGGGTAATATAAATAAAAAGAAACATAGAGTCCAAATTACATAGAGTTCAAAACATAGAAAAATAAAAACATCCAAACATAGAAAAATGAAAAAAACATAGAATGATAATTCTTGATTGTATCAAAAGCACCCACTGTGGAAACCATACCTCCCCTTCTAGTACTCTTCTCTTTATGTTAAATGTCATTGGTCCTCCTTTGGCCATATATGGCACGCCCACATGAACTTTTTAAAGCTCGTTGACTTGTTTTATTTATTAATTTATTGTTTAGATTAAAACCTAGGGAATTGTATGAATTTAAGAACTGGTGTTAAAGACAAGAATAAATTATGGAAAGCGAGTTGATTTTCAGTAGAATATTATCTTAAATTCAGGCAATCTTTCTATGAACTGAATCTTGACATGCTTTTTACTATTTGGAAGTGTGCAATTGGGAATCCGCTGATTTACTATAATGCTGGATCCTAAGAGTATCCATTGATTGCTAGATATGAAAAGATCCAACTGCTTTAAATGCCGCCAGCTCCTTCTCCTGTGGTCATGAAATGCCCACGCTCTTGCTCCTGCATGTGAATACCACTTCTGCTTGGGTGTCCAACCCACGAGCTCTCCATGCCATCCCGATTCTCTCCCTCTTTTCTAATTCTTCCATTGCCATCTTATTGATCCATGAGAGCATTGCTGTCACCTATTCAATCCATGGGTTATTCTAATTGTAATTAATTATGCGGTTAATTTTCATTTCTTGAAATTTATATATATCCTGCTAAAGGTTCTAAGTTTGTATAAATTTAATATAAATAATAAAATAAACTCGACCAATTTTCTTTAGTTTTTTTCGTGATATGAAAGCTTTAGACTTTACTTTTTT